CCTCATTTCTCAAGGACTTGTCCCCAGTTTAACTGGAACAACAGGCGGTTCAACTCTCTCGGGCCTCAGGGGTGACTGACTGTGTGTGCATTAGAGGGCCGGAGTGAGCATATGACTGAGTCAGTTTTTTGTAGCTGCTATGTACACAACCTCCAGCCTTCTTCCATCACCACAAAGAGGATAAAAGTGTTTACAGGACTTACATAAAAACACTCTTTTGTGAGATAACATAGTGTGTGTGTTTAGAGTTATTCCTGCAGGGCAGCTGAGTACAGCTCCAGCCTCTTTTCCACTTTGCTTCCTGCCCTAATCTTTTTATATCTTTGCCTGTCCAGTTGGCAAGAGGCCACTCCGTATCCAGAGTCATTCCACCATTATGTGTGCTTCAAAAGTTTTTCTGCTGCTGTCTCACATTGAACATCCCTCTATGTTCATGGCCCCTCCTTGGAGAAGATCCTCCTGAGAAACCTCTTCCACACCAAAAGATGTGAGAAATCATCTATTTTGTTATTGCTTTGGGACTTTTCCAATTCAGCTTAAGCAGGTTTGGGGGATCTGTGAGCAAGCTTCCATCTTCTATTAAAAACAATCTTTGTAACATCTAGCATATTTATATTCTGCAAGGCATTGGTCGGCATGTTCTCCCTTGCGGAGGCAGGAGTATTGTAAGCCCATGCTGGTGTCTGCGGTCGCAGGAAGTGACATGGCCTTGTGGCAAGAGACATAGCAACCGGTGTGGGGGAGGGGATGGGGGAGGAGAGCAGGAACAGTGAAGGACATAAATAAAAGCGTAGCGAGGAGATGTGGTGTGAAAGGCAGCCTGGAGGTTCTGGCAGAAAAGAGTTACAAGAATGATGCTCCAAATACCCAAATAATTAAACTTCTCTGCTCACAGGTCATATGGTCAGAATAAAGTAGTCCATTTAAATGTAATTTACAACTGGGTGCTTCAAAATCATTGCATGACTTTCAAATATTTCTATACTTTTTGAGGTGATGCAATAAAAAGTCATTGTTACATTCTGTAATTATTCCTAAACCTTGCTGCATGCAGAATACAAATCATTTTAGTGTCTGAGAAGCACGTTCATATTATATTATATTATAAAAAAAAAACATTATTTTCAGGTAACCTAAAAAATGTGTTTTACGTGTTAACATCATTGAAAAGTATAAATGAAAAAATCTAAATTCTATCATCATTTAATCACCATTATGTTGTTCCGAAGCTGTATGACTTTCTTTCATCTCTGGAACAGGAAGAAGATATTCTGAGGAATGTTTCAACACAAGCCAATGGGGTCCAAAAATCCAAAAAATGTTTCAAAATATTTTCTTTTGTATTCCAGAGAAGAATGTCATACAAAAAAAAAGATTTTTCAAAGGTTTAAATAAAACAAAGATTATTAAGTAAGTGAACAAGAAAGGTTAACAAGAAAATATAATTTTAGTCTTTCTACTCTAAAATGTCACATTTAATTCAATGTGTTCCTTGCTGTTTCTTTAATTTGTAAAATTTAAATCCAAAACAATTTTTTTTCAGTGCGGGTATAGAACGGCATGAGAACGACAATATTCGTTTGACAGGTTTATGAGAAAATATGATTTAATATGACTTAAACTTGACAACATTTGGTTACACCACTGAAGCGTATTTTTACATTTCAGATCAGGGTGAAGTAACTCCTTAAGGTACCAACTACGCAAGTCCAATGTAACAGCACAGAAAAGCTGTGTTTTGAAGATGATTTGGTTAAAATAAGGTATGCTTATGTGACACTGGCTTATTACTCCTTTGAAGATGACACTTTGGAATAGACATGCTATGTCTCTATGATTCACTGGAATGGGGCATTTTGCAATTACAGAGAGACAGAGATGTGACGGGGGAGGGTCATGGATGGAGGAACGGTCATGGCTGGGGGTGGAGAGAATTCTTTAACATTATTATGCTGGAAATGCCCATCCCCCTTTATGCCCAATCTCGTAAATATCGTAGGGGAAAAAATCTCTGCACCTTTCAAGGGGTGGTCATGGGAAATCACATCCACCAATAAGGAGTGTAGACTGCTATATCTGCTTGACTGCAAGTGACATGCCGGGTTCAATGCCTCTTAACGTTTGAGTTATTATAAAAAGAGTACAGGTTGAGAAGGATGGTCTTACTTGTCACATGATCAGAACCATGATGTAGAATCATGATGCAGTTACAACTCATTGTAGATTGAACAACTACCAAGGGCTGTCTCTTTGGATGAAAATGTGCTTTAAAGGAGAATAAATTATTGTTTTTCAATGGTTGGTTTTGCCCAGATTTCAACCTCTCCTTAGGGGTTTAAAGGCCTATAAGTTCTATAGAAATTATGTTTTGGTGGGAAAAAATAAATAAATAAAATTCAAAACTTCTCTAATGAAGCAGTAGTGCAAAGGATCTGTCTAGGATATACTCAATGTATGTAATATCAACAGATTTGAATTAAATCAAGTTCAGCAGGTCAACTTTCCATAACTTCAGCACCATGGACAGCGAACGACTTCCTACAAATGCCAGTTGAAGCTATTTAAGGCCTAATTTAGTTTCATTAAAAGTGCTAATGATGAAAATGTCAACTGGAGAATGTCTCCGAGCATTACTGACATTAAAAGCGATTTAGGAATGATTACTGTTCACACAAACGAATAGAGAAACCACATTACATTTCTTCACAACAAAAAAGATATTGTGCACAAATAAATCGAACTAAATCACAGTTGTGTTGTAAAGCCGTAAGGAGGTAATCTTACCTACACGATGGTTAGAATTGAACCAGAGCACATCTGCAGAAGTGACGATGCTCGAACGAGACGGGCACAAGCTTTATGAACGAGTTTGAACCGAACTGTTACGGAATCCGCGGAAGTGACTTTCGGCGTCCTAAAACGGCTTAAACGTGAAGCGAATGGGCTGGGGAAACAATAAATGCGGCGTATCAACAGTCTCACGCGACTAAGATGAAGCGATTTCCAGTCGTAATCAAAGTGTTCCTTATTTCATATCCATTTACGCAGAGTTGTCAACATCCTGAGCGACTTTTCACAGACGGTTCCTTGAGTGTGAGGGAAAAAGAGAAGCCCCGAGAGCACAATATAGTAAGTTAGAAGAGAAAAAAACTTGTTCAGGTAACCAAAAGTCCTTTTTAATAGGTAGTCCAATTCAGATCCGCCGTCGTGCTAAGAAATTAGCGTGAAATAGTTCTGCATCGAAGTGGTCCTTGAAATGAAACGCTATTCCTTCAGACGTCCTCAACCGGAACATGCAAACCTTCGCAGCTCCATATCACAACGCACCTCAAGCTTCATGCACACTGGAGATGGCAGCGTCTTCTCCAGCCCTCCTTCTCTTTGTGCGAGAAATTACTACGAACTGTGAAATCTCAGCCTGCTTGTTCTCAGAGCTCGCGATGCTGGTTTTGCCGTAGGTTTGGCGTGGCGCGTGTTTTCCCGCGAGATAATTGCTGCTGTTTGTCTCGTGCGGCTGAAGCGCGCTGTAAATCTGCCCGCGCGCGCGGAGTGGGACGAGACGGTTTTACAGTTCCGGTTACTGACTGACGATGTGCGGCTATCAGGAACTGTGATGTGAGTTCAGCGAATCCAGAGAAGCATCATAAATTCATCAGAGCCCCTGGAAGGCGGTAGGATACCGCCTCACTGATTGATTAAGCCGTCAAAATGTATGCTAAACTTTCTGAGGCCACACTTTACAGTAGTGTTAAGGCTGTTGCTTATTTGATCAACGCAAGCATTGTTGCCTAATTTAAATATTATGTGGCGAACCTTGTAATTAAACATTATGTTAATAATGTTAATAATAAATAGACACGTTTATAAAGCGCTATATAAGCGATTATTTCCGACTCTAAATTCTGATTGGATGAGCCCGTTCTAAGTTGTTGATGAATGCTGATGGAATTATAAGGTTCTATGTGCCATTTTTGTCAAAATTGAGTTATTCACATTCTTATTCTGTGACAACTTACTTACATTATGTGATGTTTTTGTTTTTTTTAAGTTGTGTACATTTTGGGACTGATGTATATTCCATATCACTATATGGAATGCAAAAACTTTGAAGCTCAATATCTCAAAACGTTATAATTCCAAGGTGACGAAATACTGGTGTTTAATGTGCATGAAAACCGTAAACAGTCAAGTCAAGTCACCTTTATTTATATAGCACTTTATACAATAGATTGTGTCAAAGCAGCTTTGCAGTGTTAAAGGGATAGTTCACCCAAAAATGAAAAAGTGATGTTTATCTGCTTACCCCCAGGGCATCCAAGATGTAGGTGACTTTGTTTCTTCAGTAGAACACAAACAAAGATTTTTAACACAAACCGTTGCAGTCTGTCAGTCATATAATGGAAGTGAATGGAAATCACGGCTTTGAGAGTAAAAAAAAACATACACAAACAAAACCAAATTAAACCCTGCGGCTCGTGACGATACATTGATGTGCAAAGACACGAAACGATCGGTCTGTGCAAGAAACTGAACAGTATTTATATCGTTTTTTACCTCTGATGCACTTCAATGTCTGAAATGTCCTGAGCGCATCCTCGACAGCCGGCACGTGACGCGTCTTCTTCTTCTTCTTGCTTTACGGCGGATTCGGCTGTCGATCACGCGCTCAGGACAGTTTAGACATTGCAGTGCATCAGAGGTAAAAAACGATATAAATACTGTTCAGTTTCTTGCACAGACCGATCGTTTCGTGTCTTTGCACATCAATGTATCGTCACGAGCCGCAGGGTTTAATTTGGTTTTGTTTGTGTATGTTTTTTTTTACTCTCAAAGCTGTGATTCCCATTCACTTCCATTATAAGACTGACAGACTGCAACGGTTTGAGTTAAAAATCTTCGTTTGTGTTCTACTGAAGAAACAAAGTCACCTACATCTTGGATGCCCTGGGGGTAAGCAGAAAAACATCAAATTTGCATTTTTGGGTGAACTATCCCTTTAAACAGGAAAATCATGTGCTGATAATGCAAGAGCACTCTTTCAGTCATTAGTCGACCAAACAGATGGTCCCACCCTAAACACACGCCATTGGTCGAGTTGGATTGCTAAAACAAACAGAGTGATGTTTTGATAATGCCACACTTTTCAGGGGAAATAAGCTTTATATTTACTTATACAGTAGCTGTCTTTGCATATCAAACTGGGATAGCTTTAAACATCTCACATCCAAAAGGTACGCACTTCACTTTTAAAGCCTGTAAGTCATATTTATAGTCATAAACATCTTAATTTACATTTTAAACTGTATATTTGATTCCTCAATAAACATTTAGTGTTTTGGCAGCTACATTTACAAATACAGCATTTTACATTTTCACTTTTGTGCGAGACATCAAAGACGACCAAGACAGCTGCTGTGAAGTGATAAAACGGTGTGTAAGTCACATTTTCATTTCTCATTGATTGCTCTTTCCTGATTTGCAATTTGATGGAACCAGCGACAGTCAACAGCACATATATTTCTTGGTTGGAGCGATGAGCGTTGAGAATTACACCCACCCTCACAGTCTTCCTTTCTCTTGTGCGAAATGTTGACATAAGATCTACTGTAGATGATCATGTCATGTCAGCCACTGATTTCCTTCAACTCTTTATCTGCTGAAATCTGGCTGTAAGGTCATTCTGAAGACTGAACAAAAGAGCTGGATGAAGTGGAGCTGGATGAAGACCAAGATAAGCAGTAGCCCATCTGTAAGGCCTGCTCATTGATTTTGGCCAGCATGATAATGACTTGTAGGATACATACACAGCAAGGACTCAGCTGTAATGTGGCCGGTTCTCCAGCTGAAGGCACAGAATGGACTCACAGAATCGATTAATGGCAGCAATGCATTTTGTTTATACAGTGAAGAACAGCAACCAGAAATTAATCAGCTATCAGATACAATGATTAAAAATGATTAAAACTGGCTCTTCTCAATGGCGTGCCTCAATCTGGCATCAAATTCTCCATCTATGTTGTCCGTTATGGCAATAAGCTTTCCAGTTCTTTCTTTGAAAGCTGCAGCTTCAGAGTGTAATGTTTGACGCTATCACTGCTGTTTGATGGTTGGGTTGGGTTATGGACTTCAGAGTGCTCTTAGAAAGGTTCAAAGCTTTGCCAGCCTTTTCTCCAGCTTTTTTCATCATAACTTCATCTTGAGTTAAGTGGTTGTCAGGACAACAGGAGTGATCCGCTCTACTGATTTAACCAATATCAATAATATAAGTATTTTACAGTTTGGCGAATTCATATGATTTTGTATGATTCCCTTTGCACGTTTTTATACAATCTGCTTAAGCCCCACTGGCACTTAGGTTTAGGGGTGGAGCTTCATGCTTTTTTCTAAAAATACAAATTATACAAATTCATACCACCTCATAAAATAGTTACGTTGTTTCTCATGAGTTTCAACTATGAGACCTCATTTATTTATTACAAAATAAGGGGCCATATGTTTTTGACTGCAAAAGATATGAGCACAGTAGTCAAACGCGTTCGTTCAATAGAAAAACAATGGAAATGTAGTGCAGTGGAGTTATAAACCACATTCTGTATGAATAGCCCCTAAAGCAGTTGTAAAGGTGGATTTGTATATTTGTGGATTTATTGTTTTTAGTGTGTTGTGTCAGTTATTATTGTCTGGTACCAGCTATTTTTATTTTTATTTTTTAAACGTGTCCAGCTAGCGCACATACTAGAGTAAATAACAAGGCCATTGACTCTTTTAACTAATGTAATCTACACTACCATTCAAAAGTTTGATGTTCAGTAAGATTTGAGAGTAATGTTACAAAAGACTTGTAATTTGTGGATGAACTTTCTGATCATCAAATAGTCCTGAAAAAAAAAAAGTTTTTTTAACATTGATGATAATAAATGTTTCTTGAGCACTGAATCAGTATATTAGAATGATTTCTGAAGGATCATGTGACACTGAAGACTGGAGTAATGATGCTGAAAAATCAGCTTTACATCACAGAAATAAATAACATTTTATAATAAATTAAAATGCAAAACACCTATTTGAAATTGCAATAATATTTCACAATATTACTTATTTTACTGGATTTTTGATTAGCCTTGGTGAACAAAAGAGACTTCTTTCAAACACATTAAAAATTAATTCTGACCCCAAACTTTTGAACAGTAGCATACATCTCACAGAGAAGTTTTCACTTCAACACTAAGACTGTCCTCACTTAGTTCTTAAAAAAAAAAGACAGCTTTACAAATTAAAAGTACTTTTTATTGCATTAATTATTCAACTCTTACATATTTAAGCTCGATTATAGTGCAAGGCTGTGCATTATACATGACCAGAAGGAAAATTACAGGACCAGAGCTGTTCCCTGCCCTTCACCCCTCCTTACACCCTGAGTCTGATACGTCTCTCTCTCTCTCTCTCTCTCTCTCTCTCTCGCTCTCTCTCTCTCTGTGCGTTTAGTGTGTTTGAGGTAATACTGACTGACTGACTCACTGTTCTAAGCTGGATAATGTCAGTTTGAGCCTCAGGCCTTCTGACTCCTCAATGGTGTGTGTCAGCAAGTGTTCAGCCACCCTTTGTTACATTCATGTGTGTGCGACATGCAAAATATACACTAAAACTGATGGGTCATGACCTAAAATGGGCTGAAGGTCTGTTCTGATCGTAACAGCAGGGAAAAGGTAAACAACAAAGCAGAATGTGAATAGTACAGTGCAACTAACCATATAAGCATGCATAGGTAGCTTTTAAAGGTTAATAACTTGGATTATTAACTTTTTAAATAGATGAAAAATGCTTCCCGTATCTTTTGTTGTAGTCATAAGTGGCGGTGCAATGAAACTCTACAGCATTTTGAAGCAAATTCATCTGTTGCTCAGTAGATGCCAGTCAAATTAGGCTCAAATCAACATGTCCAGGTTATAATAAATAAATAAAAACCAAATAAAAGACTTATGCACATTACATACACATTCACTTGCAACATGGATAAATATGGGTTTTGTGCAATGAATTATTGAGTGTTGAGAGCATGAAACCATCGAATAAATATTTTTATATTCAATAATATATTTATATTTAGGGTTGCAAAGGGGTGGAAAATGTCCAGAAATTTTCCAAAAGCTTCCGAAAATTCATACATTTTCCAAGTTTTGGAAATTTTCTGGGCATTTTCTACCCTTTGGATCCCTAATTATATTTATGATGTTTTGGCATGTGCAGTTCAACATAGTTTTAAAATGATTTTAAGGGCTTTGTTTTTTAACGTTTTAGTATTTGATCCTGCTTTATTTTCTCCCTTGTAAAACAAAGCAAAACAAAAACATAAAACAAAATTCTATCTGTAATTTTTAGTATTTGATCCTCCTTATTGTCTACCTTGTAAAACAAAG